TTTATTACTCCTGTTGTAGAAAATGTTTAGAACTAAACAGAAATAACTACATAACAGAATCAGGTTCTCTAACATTCAGAGATGATGATTCTTTTGGGGCACTCATCACATTGGCTGAGTGAAACTTTGCCACACTCAAGCCTCTAACTCAGCAAGCCAGGCAGTGGCTTGGTATGTTGCTTTCTGAGATGTATCTCCTTGAAACTTCCATTTTGGGACTCGCTTGGTTCATATTGTGACCCCTTTTCCTAAAAGCTTTTTAACAACAAGCATTAGGGAACTGTTTTTCAAGTGTGTTATATAGCATACTCTTTTTTCCTGTCTTACAAGTTATCATCTAATTGTATTTCATAAGACAGCTTTCTCTTGAAAGATACCGAAATTTGAATAGAATTCACTGAGTAAACTCGAGATTTCGATCTTCACCTGGCCATTCTGAGAAGTGCAAAGATCTTGGTGTGTCCTCTGATACCATTAAATGTTTATAGCATTTTAAAATAGTCATACTTGAATGGTTCTGATTTAGTAGATCAACATTACCTTCTTGTTTCATTCATTAGTTAATTAATGTATTTATGTTATACTTCCTCTAATCATCATTGTATCTTCAATCCTTAAAAATTGATTTAAACTCTTGGTTTACGCAAGGCCCAGTTTTATCCAGTTTTATGCACTGAAATCTTTTCTGTTATAATTAAAACAAAATAAAAGGGTAAATATATTTGATTAAACTTAGTTATACAGTATTCTCAATCCAGACCTAAATCTTCATGAGAGCATATTACTTTTCTTTGTTTTATCTACAGTTATCAACATGTATTCATATATCTGACTACGACTAAAAGTTATCCTTAGTGTTTTGTTACCCTGTTAACTTTATTTTAATATATATATATTTTTTCTTATTGCTCCTGAGTGAACTGCTATAACCTGTTGTTCATCTATTGGAATGATTATTTCCTAATCAGCTCTAAACACTGAGGCAGAAACCTGAGCCATCTTGGACATGTGCTAATTTACTCTCAATGTCTTTTTTTTTTACTTCTGCATATTTTTAACTTCAAACTGTTTTCAAAGAAAGATAGGAATTAAAGGCGAATGAAAGGATGACGTTCATTGCTTTTAGCTGTTGCAGAGGTGAAGTAATTTTTCACACAAATTTTACACCAATTTCTTTATCTTATAGCAGATTCATGAGGTCAGAAAAGCAATGGTGGCTTTCCACACTTTTGAAAAACTAAGGCCTATTGATGTTACCACTGAAATGGCCCCCGAGTTCATTCAAACTTCTCTAGTCCCGCTGTTTCTATGGTAATACTGATCTACATGATTCCTCAGCTGGATTAAAAGAACAACCTTCTTAATTGATCTCTCTATGTACAGGATCCTCCTCCACCACATCCCTACAGATCTCCAGACTTTGTTGCATTGATCTTGTTGAAATGCAAAGCTCCTTGTTTAAGTTCCTTCAAAGGTTCTCTTTGCTCTATAGGAAAAAAGCCAAACTCCTTAGTAAGATGTATAAGACGCACTACAATCTGGCTGCAGCCTAGCTCTCTGGTATTGTCTGATACCACTTTCAAATTCATTAATTACCTTCCAGCCACACTGGAAAAAAAATGATTTTTCTATATTTTAATCTCTTCTTTCTGCTTCTGAGTGAGAGTACAGAATAAATGCATAAGCTAATTTAACTAATTCATGAAACAAAGAAATGTGGTTGATCTGCTAAATCAGAGCTAAACAAATATTCTTGTATACTTCTGTACATACATGCTACTTTCTCTCTCTGGATCATTCTCCTCATCCTTGCTTCTTCTTTTCCTGGCAAACTGTCACTTCTCCACAACTCAGTCCGTATTGGATATTCCCTGGGAAGCTTTCTCTGATTTCTCTTCAGTTATATGCCCCTATTATGCAATATTAACCTGAGCTCACTCTTATATTCTTTATAAATCTTTATCGCTATTACATATTTACTTCTCTGGCCGCTTCACTTGTCTGTGAGATTCTGGAGGATAGGCACTCTGTCTTTTAGATATGTTTTGTCAGTGTCCCGTAGAATGGCAGAATATATGGTGACAATAAACAGCACATAAAACTGCTTCCTCTAGGAAAGAAGCAAGAAATGAAGGATGGAGGGAAAAGAGATGGAGGAAGGAAGGAGGATAAAAGAACAATATTGTTAAATTTGTGTTTAGTTTTCAAAACAATCACATTTCACATTTAATCTTCAAAAACAATCATGAGGTTAGACGATATTTGATTTTTTCCTCTTTTTGACAAATTAAGGCTTAGACAGTTATCCATGTTCTTAGAGCTTAGAAGACGTAGCTTTACTACTAGAATTTACAGATTTTGACTCTGTGTGTTTTGCACAACACTGGTGAATGAGGTTGGGGGGATTAACACAGAGCTCTTAGTACTTAATTAGCACATGTTGATTATTTCTTGGTGTTGGGGACTTAGACTTTCCAAAATTTCCAAACCTGAATCTTGAACATAGTTTTAATATCATAAAGGAATTAGCTGGTTATATTTTTCTTGAATTATGTCAGCTAATGATATAATAATATTTTTACATCTTTTTAAGAAATCCTGTCTGAATTAGATTTCCATTGAACACCACTGGACATAAGCTATGGACCACATAGGAAAACAACAGCTAGAAGAGCCCTACAGAGTATTCAATTTATCCACTTACAAACATATAAAGGTTTAGAGAGGTAATGGCATTCTCCAATATGCATGGAGGGAGAAGGAAACTAGTAACTGTGATTAAAAAAAAAAAAAGTCATTACTTACTAGGTTTGTGATTTTTGTCAAGTCCCTTTACCTTTCTGAAGTTTTCCTCGATCTGTGAAAGAGATATTAAAACCTACCATGCAGGGTTATTTTAAGAACAAGCTAAGATAATGTAGTTGGTAAGTGCACAGTCATTTGTTTTCCATGAAAATACCTAGCAATCAAGTTGGAACTAATATGAAATCTGAACTGTTTCTCTTTCCTGTACACCATGTTTAGATAAGGGGGAAAACAAACAATTTCTTTTCTAAAAAGACATGCTTCCATTGTACACATTGCATACTATATACTGAATACTGTTTTAATTCTAGTTATTCTTTTCTTATTTCATCCAGAGGTAAAGAATACCTTATTGTAGACTGAACTTGATTTCAGGAGGTTTTGTCATGATTCTGAACATCTTTACACATTTTGATAGCAGACACGTCAGTAAAAAACATTCCTGTTGCTGTAGAATAAGGATGAGTAATATTCATTGGGACTACCTTACACACAGACTCTTGATGCCCACAGGATGTAGTAAGAGAGAATTAATGGACCATTTCTCTAGCATAGCTTATGGGCCTTGGGAACTATTTCAGCCCTTCTTCACATATCTACTCTAACAGACTATGAAAAAGTTGCAGATTAACTTAAAATAATGCCAAGCTACAAAGAAAAACAAAACCAGAGAAATGAAGTCTGACTTTAGAAAATGGAATGTTTGTGTATTGACAATTCATAAATTCTACTTGAGGTGACAGGCCTGGATCTCAACGTTTTTACGTGTAAAATGAAATATTTTCAATGGTAATTTTAGTCTAAAACTCTGTGATGTGGATTTCTTATTACATTGGGATTCATTGTTGATATCAGGGACGTTAAAACAGTAAATGTAATTAAAGAAAACACACACTTCCAGACTATCAAGAGAATTACCACACCATTTTTAACTTTGGTCACTCAGCAATTTATATCTATCTTCTTGTAACTGTAAAGTTTTATACTTATATTCTTGTAACAGCAAAATTTTCTTAAAGAATCTGTCCCTAGAGGAATGGGCAGATGGCATTTTTGTGTGACAAGGCACCAGCTTTTTCTAGCCACCAGTTCTTTAAAAGTGACACTATTCAACCAAGCATAGAAATGTTCTTAATAAACCGTAACAATCAAGAGAGTTCTATAAATGAAAGGGTTCCTTCTTTTTTTACTTCAGTAACATCTGGCCTAAGACAGAGGATCTGAGGACGATTTTCTCCTAAGAAATCATCTACCATGAAAATTCTTCTCATTTTCTCTATCCTTCTCTCCACTGATGTCCTAATGCCACCGGGTAACATGAGCATTATTGCTGGGGCTGGGGGTGGTGGTGGTGGGAGAGGGACGAGTCAGTGTTAAAGGAGGGAAGGGTCATGATTTTTTTAAGGTAATGCACTTTACATTGTAGGATATATTAATATCATCACTATCATCATCCCCAGCCTAGGTTTATTTAAAATCTTCTGCTGCAGGACACAACCACCAGCACTTTAATTGATCCCGGAAAGATGTGTTTATTCAATATTCAAATTATGACGAATTTAACATACTAATAGATTTGGCGAAAAAATGAGAAGGGATGAATTTATGTTTGGAAATCATTCATTCCCACATTGATAGTATCGATATCAGAGGTTAAGTGAGGTAAAATGGCTTGGTAAAACTTTCTAATTTTATTATATTCATAACAGACTACTAGGTGCACATCTGCTGACTCCCAATTAAAATCTCTTTCTCCTTTATCTTGCTGCTTTCTCATGATCAACAACATATCTGTCATTACTGAGATCAGAAGAGTCGCTATGAAATAAATCTTCAGTGTCCCATTCTCTCACTACTACTCTGGCTCAACATTGAAACATAAATAACTCTTAAGCTGACATTTTCTCACCAAAAGAGGACAAGTGGATAAACTTCAATTTATTACATAACCCAAAGGGTTGGAGTTACTTTAAATAAGGGAATAACTTTCTCCATCATCATCACAAAAATTCATTAGAGCATGTTCTTTGAAATTCCCTATATTTCTAGAAAAGTCCTGATAGAAATTATTTAGAATTGTATAGGCTTTAATGTGCACCGATGCTTTCTCTTTTTAATAGTACTGATTTTAATAGCTAGCATTCTGTTCTGCTTTTCACCTACATTAATTTATTATTCCTTCCAACAGCCATGTGAGGTAACCCTATTAATAGCCAAGTCAGTCATTCATTTATTCAACACAATTTAAAAGAAATATGTACTGTAAATGTATTATTATTACTTAAAACCTCTAATACTAGATACGGATATTAGATACTGATGATTGTATTAGGTGACATGCAAACATGTTTTTCTCATACTTTTGAAGTTTTTTGTTTTTTCCTTCACAGTGGGCTCTGACCAACCTATTAGCAATCCTGTGCCATTATTGACAACCATGTGTATATGGAAGCCTGAGAAACTATACTCAAAGATGCATAATTCTTCTATAATATTTGAAAAGACACAATATGAGACAGAGGAAAAGAACACAGGTAAAATAAAACAAGTAGAATCATATCTTGCATATTTCACAGCAATATTTGTCAACTGAAATGAAATTTCCTAAGTATATTCTCCTCCACCCCACTCCTCACTTACTTAACTGTTCTTATTCTTCCCCTTCTAGCTTTATGAAGGCTGTAATTCATGTTCAAAATGAGAAAGAAGCCTTCTTTTAAAGTTATAAGAACTAGCTTTTGCTGGAACCCTGGCTAGACATGTGTCCTTAGTATTTCCATCTGGAGAAAATTATCTGACCATTGTCTCCAGGATTCTTATTTTCTAAAGGTTGTTGGTGCCGTTTGGCTTAGAAGTCATGCTATTGCCTCAGTTTCCCTTCTGTCAGACAGCTGGAAAATTTTTTTCTTTGTCTGTCACCACTGTCCATCACCCAGATGTCTTTTTTGGATGCAGAAAAGTGTGTTGTTGCATTGAAAGGGCGATTATGATGTTTGCTAATTAAGATAACTTGAAAATGCAGTTGAGTGAAAAGTTGAGACTGGGATTTGAAAATTGCTTTAGGAAAGAAGTCTCCCTGATTTAGTCTTGATCAATAACTTAGAATATTGTTTAACAAAATGTATTTTCAAGTTATAACATTATAAACATCAGGTGAGGGATACACATGCTTTGGAGGAGGGGGGCGGGCAAAGAAAGAGGTAGTAATTATTATGATGATGTTCAGAAAGAGATTTTAATGATGAGCTCTTTCGAAAATTTAATTTATACAGGGAACACTTCTTTTTCTTTTTCCTATCCATCATATTATCCCTACAGCCTAGCACAGTACCTGATATACAGCAGGTGCTCAATAAAAATGTATTTAATGAATGAATGGGAGCATGGATAGAGTGAAAGAGAAGAACCAAAGCAATAGTCTTAAGGAATGCACATATTTAGAGAGCAGAAAAAAAAAAAAAAGACAAAGATATTTTGAGAACAATAAACAAGGACAGAACTATGTGTAACAGATTGCTGATTTATTGGATCATAAAAACAAATATTGAGGAATAGTCCCAGAAGGTGAGTTAGTATTAACTAAACAGGACATAACTCATATTTCTGAGCTTAAGAAGATTCCAAATGGGTTTGATTACAGGATGCTGCAAGAATTCAGTCATAGTGGTAAGTACTTATATTTAATAATTAGTGCCTAAACTACATAAAGAGATAATTTGTTCTTTTGTTATCATATTTGTGTAAGTTTTGTCATACAATGTAGTATAACATTTATGGAGTGAATGAACTCAATATTAAAGAAGAGATATTGACACAACCCGTTAAGTGCTCAGATGCTAACCAAAAGGTTGGAGATTTGAACTCACTCAGCAGCTCTGCGGGAGAAAGACCTGGTGATCTGCTTCCATAAAGATTATAGCCAAGAAAACTCAATGAGGCAGTCCTACTCTGTCTCATGGGGTCGCTCTGACCTCTAACAGCACCTAACACCAAAATATTTTATCTCAGTTATCAATATCTGGTAGTCGCTTTTGCTCTGAGTCTTTTTTTAAAGTGAATACCACTAGTCACTATTTGTTGGCTATGGATATGTTAACAGTGTGTAAGTGGAAAGATCCAGCACTTACAATATAAAACAGCTGAAAAACTCACACTCACTATAACTAGTATGCAAAGGTTTGAATCTTCCCTTGGTGTGTAGTATGCAATTCTTAAGTTCTTTTTCCTCAGCCCAAAAAAAAAAAAAAAATGCCTTGGTTATGCTATACATCTATATATCTACATCTGTCTATCTTATTTATATTAACTTTTTACTAATGTACATTATCTCTCGTAAACTTCAGCCCAAGCCTAGGCTTCATGACCCACAGCCTTCAAGGGCCCTTCTGTCTTGGCAATGACACCACTTGACCAATAATAATCTCAAAGCGCAAAACTTTTTTTAGTTCTTGAATATCAGCCTGAAAAAGCCATAGAGTGAATATGAAAATTGTAACACGTGTAACCAGAATAGGGCTTATACCTAAAATATATAAATGATTCAAATAAATCAATAAAATGATTGTTCAATAGAAACCTGGGGAAAAGATTTAAAGAAGTAATTTTTAAAAAGTAAATATACAAACATATTTAAAGGGCTCATCCTAGTTAGCAAGCAGTAAAATGCAAATTTAAACTATGATAAGATACCACAACACATTCAACAGAATATTTAAAACTTTTAAAAGTTAAATAATAGAACGTTTGGGAAGGCATATGGTACAAAAGATTTTCATACACTGCTGAAGAAAGTGAAATTGATAGTACCGCTTTAGGATACAATTTGTCATATTATGTTATAGTTGAAATACTTATATTCTATGATGTAGGATTTCCATCCTGTATATATCTAGGAGCCCTGGTGGTGTACTGGGCAAAGTCATTGACTACTAACCAAAAACTCAGTGGTTCAAAACTGCCAGGGGCTCCAAGGGAGAAAAATGTGGCAGTCTTCTTCTGTACAGATTAGTAGCCTTGGAAGCCCTATGTGGTCACTATGAGTCAAAATTGACTAGACAACAGTGGTTTTTTGTTTGTTTGTTTGTCTTATCTACCTAGCAATAAATGGCATACATGTGCTCTAAGAGATAGTAGATAGTACATACAAAGACCCTAATAATAGATTTCCAATTATGAAATTGAAGATATGATGCAATTAGACATCTTCTGTTTTTCACTCTGGTGATGACAAAGTATTGATTGAAAAAGTAAAAATAAGTTCAGTGAAGTGCAGTACATCTGACTGCTCTGACAGGTAGCACTGGAAAATTAAGAACCTTCCTAAAATGTTCACTATGTCAGCTTCTATTCATTGACTGTTTCATTATATTAATGTCACATATGTGTCTGTTTTTAAGCAGAAATTTTCCTGGGGATGGGTGGGCCTTGTAGATCCAAGAAGAATTGAGGTATTTGAAGTAAATAACATAGCATCTTTCAGCATTTTAGAACTTGTGAAATCAGACTACAATGAGAAATAAAATCTTGTGGAGTAGAAAAAAATTCCCCATAGGACAGCGTTGAGTGTAAATAATAAATGAGAGAGAAGACAAAGATGGACCCACTCCTATTCAGTGATTCTAGGGGATGAGCAAGACATACAGAGAAAGATATTTAATAAATTACAAGCCATCTAGGTATTCTTTTTGAGTCATAACCAAATCAAATGGGTAGGTGTGGGGCAACCATCTTAGGGATTGGATACTTGCTGATTTCCTTGATTTCCCCTGATATAGATAGAGGCAGAAAGATTCCCATGAAAAAAATAACTGAGATTTTTTTTTTTCCCCTCTGCTGTCTGGGGAGCTTGACATATCCTACCTGGATTATTAATTCCAGCTATTCTTTCCTTTGTCCAGCCAGAGGTAAAGAACATCATGCTGTCTTTAACATGTGGGATGCATGTATAAAGCTCAGAGGTCAATGTAAAAAACATTGTGGTGAAAATGAATATAGGATTGCATATTGTGCAAGACATACAGTTCATTGCTGCATGAAAAGATGTAAACCTGTGGAGAAGTAGTAAAAGAGAACCACACACAAAGAGAGGATCCATCTTAACTAAGTCTTCTCGTTATTTCTTTGCTTCTCATTCCTTCATTCATAGCCTAGGATTTCTATTTATGCATATAAATAATGATTAAAGAATTAAAAAATATATTTTATTTAAAGGAAGTGTTCTTTCAAACATGAACATTGGAAGCAAGGGTGAACAAACAGAGTGGAGCTCGGATCTCAGTGACAGAAGGAGAATGAGAGGGAAACTACATGGCTGCCTGAACTGCTATGTTCAATGAGATCCCGGGCCAATTCTATGATTAGTGTGAAAAGAATGTTGTAACTTATTGGTGACTCGGAGGCCTGGTGGCACAGGGGTTAAGAACATGGCTGCTAACCAAAAGGTCATCTGTTTGGATCCACCAGTCGCTCCTTGGAAATCTTATGGGGCAGTTCTACTCTGTCCTATAGGGTCGCTATGAGTCGGAATAGACTCCACAGCAAGGGGTTTGGTATTTGGTTTTTATTTGTGACTTATATTAAGCATTCTCTGGGGAAAAATCAGGAGTGGGGGGAAGGGAATTAATTAAAAAAATGAAAGGCATTTGTTGTCCCTGACCTATCGAAAATGATTGCAAAAGCTTTGATGGATTGGTTATACTATCATACTGTTATAGAACTCTTAAAGCAAAAATGATCCAAGTGCATACACATTTTTTTAGAAGAATAACCACAAAGAGTAGAACAGAAGAAGACTACCTTAAGGAGGAAGAAGTAGGATGAATCGCTGTAGCTTGTGGTAATAAAGAGAAAGAGAGAATGGAAAAAAGACCTGTATGTGAGAATTAGCCTCACAGTTTAACATGTGAAAAGATCCTAATAGATTTCCAATTCTAAAACTGAAGATGTGATGCAGTTAGATATCTTCTGTTTTTCAGTCTGGGGATGATAAAATGTTGATTGAAAAGGCAAAAACAAGTCCAGAATTAAGTGCAGTACATCTGACAGGGCAGGATAAATTGGGTTCTCTGTTCAGATAACGACTGGGTAATTGCAGTCTCATGGGCTGTGGCCAATGACCGTGCTGTTAGATCAGCAATTGAGCCTTATATAACAATTAAAAACACCTCCATGTTTACGGTTAAAGAAATCCGTACGGAAATTCTGAGGAAAAATTAAAATGGGCTATGCAAATGATTATCAGAAAAAGATGGAGCCCCGATGCCGCAGTGGTTAAGGTGATCGACTGCTAACTGAAAGGTCGGCAGGTCGAAACCACTAGCGGCTCCGCGGGAGAAAGATGTAGCAGTCCGCTTCCACAGAGATTTATAGCCTGGGAAAACCTATGGGGTCGCTATGAGTCGGAATCGACTTAAGGGCAGTGGGTGGGTGCATTAACAGACATGAAATGCAAATACTGTTGCCCTAGTTGGGAACCTGGGGTTAGCTACTGTGCTAAGCATGTGCAGAGCTGCTGAAGAATGAAAACTGGGCAGAATGATGGCATATGCTATTTTTGCCTGTTGAAGCTACTAATGTGGTAAACTGTGCTGAACGTCAACAGGAATGGAATTTTCTTAAAATGTATCTTTGGGTAAGATTTCCTGAGAACAAAAATCATAATATCATTGACAAGTGGACTAAATCAGACCCCTGCAGGTAGCCCCTGATGACTTCAAAAAGATTCTGACTAGACTATTACTATACTACTTTGGACCCTTTGTTTACTCCATAACTGAAACCACTGTTAAGGATATTATTAACGAACTGGGTTAATGGATTTTATACAGTTTTGTCTCCCTTTGTTACATTTCATGGATCAAGCTAATCATTTCACCATAGCTAATATTAAAAAAAAAAACAAAAATATAATATTAAAAACATTTTTTCTACCCTCAAAATAGTAGCTTACTTGAAAATTAGAAAGAAGTCATAAAAGTGTGAAGTATGAGCTCTCAAATGTTGCTAAATATTAACTAAAACTAAATATGAGACAAGAAAAGGAGAACTCCTATAGGATTTCTTGAATCTAGAAGTAGAAATGAGGAGGCAGCATGCCTAAGACATAATACTGGTATGTAATTTTTGCGTGATCCAGTTGTACAGGGACCAGAATTGTACATGTGTTCCCCAACCGAGGGAGAAATCTCTTCATAGGCATTATTTTATGTCCTTTATATTTAATTGTGTATGTTTTTTATGGGAATAAAATGCCAGAAAATGTCTTCTTCCGATGGCCCAAGTCTGCCTGACTGTAAGTACTGTTGCATTAGATTACCCTTTACATTCCTATTATCCTTTACGTTCCTGAACCTACTTTCTTTCCAGGAATGGATGAAAAGGAAAGTTTTTTCAAGTCTATTCTTATTACATGTACTATGGTTGGGCAGAGTGGCCCAACCTAAGATTTCCTGTTAGGGAGACCCAATATGAGCTAAGAGCTGAAAAGAAGGAAGTGTTATGGCAAACAGAATGGGACCATATAAACGGGTAATGACACCCAGGAAGATACCATTACTCTTTCCCACTAAGTATCTTAAAACAAGAGAATTAAACTGTTGGCAATCTCTTTCAGATATGATGCTGAGTGATGGCTGATACTGTTCTTTCAGGAAAGGGAGAATTAGACTGACATCAGCTTACATTGACTATCTACAGACACTACTTAGGAGATTTGGGGAAAAGATACTAACAAACAAAGGACCTCCCCTCCCCTATGCTTTGCCTGAATGATTACAGGTTGAAATTTTCCTTTGGGGTGCACTTTATTGTTGATGTTTATTTGCTCTTTTGTAGATTTGAGAATGAGAGAGAGATCCTACTATTGAATTAGATTGGCTACATTGTGGCTGGCAATGACAGCAGGTGCACTGTGCCCTGTAAATTGAGATGACCTTTCATTGTGAAAACTATGAGGATGTATGAGGAAACATATTGCTGCCTCCTGCCCATTTTGTCAGACTGTTTTGAAATATGGATGGAATGCCATAGAAGCAGGCATTTATGAAATCAAAATGATGTCCAAAGGGATGACTGTGTGAAATAGAGGCTGCATGTCACTGATAGCTCCATTCTGCTTCTCAAAAATGATGAAATATTCATACTAAACTGGGCCTAGGTGTTGAATATTCCAATTAACTATCTCCTATTTCTGAACGCACACAATATATTTGCACCCAAGTCATAAGTACTCAATGGCAATAGATCTTGTGGTGACTTAATCCACATTTGCACAGATGAGTCAAAAGAGGCTCAGGAACATTGGAAAAATGACTGAGTGTGCTGAATACAATGAAAATGGCTTTCCGAGAGGCTAACCACCACAATGAAAAATATTTGCTAACCCAATTGGAACACTAGAGGGGGATCTCTACCAAGAATCCTGCCATGACTAACACTTTCAAGAAGAAAGACAATGAAGCAGTCCAAAAAAGTATGGGCATATTGCCAAATTAATGGAGCATGGAGTTTAGGGGCAACATTGGGAAAGCGTATGTAACTGAAAGACATAAAGACTTATTAATTACACTGTAATCTGAAATATTTAAAAGGCAGTAATGGAGTCCCCAGCTGGGTGGTATAAATAGTTAACACATTCACCTGCTGTCATGGATTGAATTGTGTACCCCCAAAATGTCTGTCAACTTGGCTAGGTCATGATTCCCAGTATCGTATGATTGTTTACCATTTTGTAATCTAATGTGATTTCCTTATGTGTTGTAAACTCTATCACTGTGATGTAATAAAATGGATTAGCGGCAGTTATACTGACGAGGTATACAAGATTGGATAGTGTCGTAAGCCAATCTCTTTTGAGATATAAAAGAGAGAAGTAAGCAGAGGCACATGGGAACCTCACACCACCAAGACAGCAGTGCCGGGAACAGAGCGCGTCCTTTGGATCTGAGGTTCCTGTGCTGAGATGCTCCCAGACCAAAGGAAGACTGATGTATCACAAGGACCTTCCTACAGAGCTGACAAGAGAGAAAGCCTTCTCCTGGAGCTGATGCCCTGAATTTGGACTTTTAGCCTACTGGACTGTGAGAGAATAAACTTCTGTTTGTTAAAGCTATCCACTTGTGGTATACTAGATGCCTAAGACACCTGCTAACCAAAAGGTTAGCAGTATGAGTCCACCCAGAGCACCTCAGAAGAAACACCTGATAATTGACTCAAAAATACCAGCCGTTGATACAAACACTATTGGAGCACAGTTCTACTCTTAACGCACATGGGGTTACCGTGAGCTGGAATTGACTCTACAGCAAATGATTTTTTGGTTTGGATTGGGGCACTACTTCAAATTTAAATTGTGGCAAGCTGTCACCTGACAATGTGTTTTCACTGTTCCTTCATGACCAGGGTCTCATGGATAAAAAAGATCAACTTCCCCATAATACAACTGGTCAGGATGATACCGATTAAAGATCAATGTTGTGCCATGCTCATGGGAGGTAGTTGGGCAGTGCTTCCAAATGATAAAAGAAACTTGATGCTTATATATATCCTTATGCCACAAGCAGATAGAATCCAAACTGTACTGAGCAAGGATCTCAAACAACTATGGTTACTGTAAATATATAGTATATATGAAAATAACAATTCTGTTAGAAAGGATAGAAATTGCTACTGTAATATTAACTGATATGTGGTATGCTAAACATTAATTGCTACAGCTACAAAACTTCCAAATTTCAAATGGTGACTCTTCCATTTATTAACTGGGTGACCCTAGGTAATTGACTTAAATTATAATGCCTTTTGGTTAACAACCAAGTGCTTTTAACCATTGTTGCACCAGAGCTCCTTATAAAATGTGAAGAATTACAGTATTTATGGCACAAAAATTGATTCCAAGAAGTACATAGTATACATTAATTTGTATATATGCATCATTACTATTGTTGTTGTTGCTGGTGATGGGGGTAATGGTAGTGGTAATAGTAAAAGCTGGTCTGTACTTGAAGTCATGAATAGATATGGTATCTGTAGTGTGATTGGATGGCAGAATAGCAATTAACTGCT